CAGACCAGGAAAAAGGCCATTCTGTAGTTATATATTTAGTTGGTAGGTTTGGTAGTTAATAGTACCTTGATCTTAAGATCTCATCCAACATAGCTGGGTAGCTCGTTCCATACTCCCACAGTGATTTAGGTAACAAAGTGCTTCTGGTTTTCAGTTTTAACCGAGTCAGTTGGTGAATTAAGCATCACAGATGCATCCAAAAGCACATAATATTCACCTTCACTCTTTAACAGAGCAACAAGGTTCTATTACAGGAACACCACCAAAGCAAATGTACTGTAGGTAGGCACTGGGCACGCCCGAGTGCACGAGGAAGACACAGCCCTCATTGACAACAGCGCTAGTTCACAGGAAGCAAACAAGCCACAAGGCTCACAGGATATCTTAACGCAAACTCACCCAACTCCAGTGATACTTCACCACATGTGCATAAATGGCTAATGTCCTCTCAAAACAGGTAGTAAACTACAATTGGTCTTAAAATACATGCAAACAACAGGTTCAGGAAAATGAAGGCCCGGTTTGTTTCTATTTCCAAGTAAACCTAGATAAATGCAACGTGATCTTTAACTTAAAGATCAAATTGCATTTATCTAGGTTTATTTGCTTAATTACAGATGAATAGCGATTGCTTTAAATTCAACAATGATTAATTTACTTTTTGAAAAAGCTGCTTGTATCACCAGATCCCAAAAGTTGGCTGACATGAACTATGAAACTTTTTTTATTTGTAGGCACTAATCAGCTTAAAGGTGTTTGCAGTCACAAAAGTCAAACTGCAAAAAACTGCAAGGACACAGGTCTCAATCTGTTGATTCTGCTGAAAACAAACTTGAGAGAAACCCGGCATCAGAATTAGGTGCTTTTTGAAGGGGTTCAAAGACTACATTTCGGAGAAATGTTCAAGACCTTCATTGCCACAATTATCTTTACACTGAAAAAAGAAGCTCGTTTTGTGTTAATCTTAAAAATGTGTCCACTAAATGTAAATTTTAAACCAACAATAAAAAATCCTGCAACAGCCTTTCTGAAAGTCTTTGGTAATATAAAAATAACATATAGCTCAATTTAAAGCTTCAAGGGCTTATTCTGTATAAAGATTACAACATCTTTCTGAAGAAAGATTCACAAGGGTAGTACTACAGTACTGTAGTTTTCCAAACTTCCAGTTCTGATAGATTTTCAATAAAATATATTATGTTCCCCAGCCTACAGGAAGGAAGAGTAAAATGATTTGGGGTAGTCTTTTTTAAAAAGCTGGGAAATATTTTGATTTATCCCAAACACTGGCTTTCACACATGTTTTTTAGACAAATCATCATTAAATACTTTATCTTATAATTTACCAGGAATATTAACATAACTAGGGCAGAAGAGCATGCCTACGCTCAAATGTAAACTGACAAAAAACAAAGGAATATATATAGCACTTTAATTTTAACAGTGCAAAGAACCATCCAATGTCAGAAAAACCATTTGATCTAAGCATTCATATGAAAATGTTTTTCAGGTTCTTTTATTCAAAAAAGAACATTTTAAAACACAGTGTTAACATACATATTTCATTCACATTCAATTCCACATTTTTGAAACCCTAAAATTAAAACTATTAACCATTCTCCCTGGTTTATTGAGTATCCATCTTGTGATGTGGTCACTGATTAAGCCGATATACACAAGCACATTCTCTTCTCATTGCTGTCTCTCTCTGCCTTTTCACACTTACTGCATTTTGCCACTTGGAATGTTTCAGCATTTAAAACGCCCTTATAAAATCACATGTTCTGTAGCATGTCCCTTTAATTCATACAGTGTGAGAAAGGGGAGTTTAGAGAGTCCAACACAGTACACAAGGTCTGTAATTTGCATAACAGTTTTCTTGACACGCCTGTTAAAATTACAAATATGCAAGTATACTCAGCTAAAGCAAATTTCACACAAAGGTAACCAGTGGCATGTAGGAAGGACATGTTTATCAATTCTAGAGACAACATGAATGCTGCTGGTATAAAATAGTCACATCAGATGGGGCTAACACATATGCATCCAACTATATCCTAAAGTCCCTTGTGTACAAGGAACTTCACAATAGTACTCACTGTGGAGAAGAGCATGCATAAATACAGTGGAATCCAGTGGGACAGAAGATATCCTCGCTCATACTGCCACAAAACTGCAACTTCAGTGGGTAGGCAAAAGGCCCTCATTCAGAAGTCAGAGAAATAGGATCAAACACACGCAATCACCGAATATTTATTAGAGCACTACTATACTCTACAAAGAGATTAGGAAAGTCACTGGCACAATATATCATCTGGATAAAGGACCTCAAGCAGAGACGAACCCTACACAAACACAAACTCGGTGTCCACAATATACAAGAATGGCCCAGGACAGCATAAACCAGAGAGACATCAGAGACTGTGGACAGTGAGAACAGTACATAGTGATAATCCTGCTACATAGCCTCAGGACTTCGAAAAACAAATGCTGAACAAAAATTCCCATCCCAAAGAAGAAAGAACAGAAAAACCGGCTTCTGAAAATGCCATAGACTGAGAGGAAGTCTAGAAACTGAATTTGAGGTCTTTTGTTTTATATACTGTGTACATATTACCAAACAGTTCTGTAAATGTTATGTAAACATAAAGCATGCAAGTGTTCTTTATAAATAATATTTATACCTAGTTGCACTGTTCACAGCACTAGTGTTTTCTTTTGGCAAACCTGGTGTACACAAGCTTGTCTTGCCAATAAAGCTCTTTCAATAAAGCTGTATGAATCCATTTACTACTACAATTATCCCCCCAGAAAATATAGATTATCAGTATCAGCAGTAGAAGTACCAGCTTAAACAAGAACTTTTTTGTTCATACAGCACAACACCTTTGGATCACAGAAAACACAATGTACAAAAATAACTTGTGTGGAATGTCAAGGCTACAAGAAATGCATACAGCATTTTAGTTGTTGTAAGTTTAAGCCTTTTGAAGTCATAACATAAAATTGTTTAGAAACTCACGGTTGTTTCATTACCCCAAACCCTAAGATTCTGATGAAGGATTTACCTTTCTTTAATTTCGAAACTATGTGGCCTGACCATTAATTTCAATGTTGTAGCACAGTGAAGAATTTTAAAGATTTAAGCCTACAGTATGTCACTAAAGTAAAAACAAATAACATGCAGCTAGCCATGTTTATCTTGATGAATACAGTATTTATAGGCTCTTGCTTCTGTTTTGTCAATACAGCAGGGCATTTCCAGACAAAGTTCTCAAAACGTTTAGGCTTTCTCTATTTCAAACAAGCAATACCAAAACGAAACAAGGCCCTTTCATTCTGGTCAAAATGCAGCACTTGTAGTTAATAACAGTACTGTTGACATTCTTGTCATTTTAAAAGCTTATGTACTCTGGTTATCCAGTATTAAAAAACAACAGATTTTCAGTACATTTAATCACAGTGTTTGTTAATTCTGCAAAAAAGGCAGGCAGGAAATCTTGATACGGTTTTATATCACCTGTGTAACGAATATACCCCTGCGTATAGCGCCGGAGACCCAGGTTCGCGCCCAGGTAGTGAGGGGCGAACTGGCAGGACAGGAGCGACAAGGGAAGAAACCCCAAGAACCTTACACCTGCAAATAACTTGGTTTCACAGAACATACTAATTAATGTTACTGATACAAAGGAATAAAATACTATGAGTTATACTGTATGGTGAATATTATAATTACAAGGCACGTTACATTGGTAGCTTAAAGTCTGATCAGCATTAGACTCGGTCGGAGATTTTACATCAAGCACCAGAACTAAAGGGGTTTATAATACAGTATTGAACGCAAATATTTTCAGTACCATACATTTTCATAACACTATTCAAATATCTAACACTAGATGTCACTCTGATTCTAAATATCCCTTCAATATGAAAAGATTCAACGATCAGACCACCGGGCGTTTTGACCTATCAGCTTTCAGCTTTTAAACATTATATTTACCCGCATAACTCAAATTATTAACTAGAATTGCAAAACTGCTGCCAATCAAACTGATGTTGCAAGGAAAACCACATCTTATATTTAAACCCAAAAGTACGTTTTCCCAACATCACTATAATTCTTAGGTATTGAAGCAACTTGCCTTAAATTACACCTAACATTACAGTTGGGTGAGTAATACTGGACTTATATCATTTCTCTGTTGTATAACCAGCAGTGATACACGGAAATCTTTCTAATTCCAAAATGAATATTTTATAACCACAAACTGTGAATCAAAGCATTTAGTTGTATAGCTACCGTAATACAATCGTTCTTTTTTGCGATTCTAAATTTTAAAGCAATACCACAACTCGAGTTTTAATAGTTAACAGTTTATATTTACGTCACTATCTCTATCTAGGCAGAAATGTAATTCTGACAAATTACACTGTGTGCAATTACACACACCATATTCGTAAAAAAAGAGGGAAATTGGACTGTTTTTTTAATTACACCATTAAGGATCGTGTTCTCAACACCTAATTCCTTGCAGAGTAATTAATAAATGAGCGACTATCATAATTAACCCACAAAACTTTTTGGGCGCGTCCTTTGTTTGAAATGCAATTATTAACCAGCGCGGAATAGTCCACATAGGAGCAACAAAACCGTAAGAGGACGTGCATATTAAACCATTTCTCACAGGCCTGAGTATAGCAATCTGGCATCACTGCACCCGTTCTTGTTTGAAAATGAAAGACCACATTGTCCAGAAACCATTCAGACTTAATATTCTATTTACATAATCTGCGAAGTTCATTGCCACGCCAAAGCAACATAGTTTTCGACTTTTTAGTTACGTAGAGTCGGCGATTTAAATATTGATCGCAGTCTTGTTCAGTCTTACACACAAGTTGGGGAACTCTTTTAATATCCAGCTGTCACTAAACCACAACTACCGTAACCGAACAGTAGTAGCATGCCATCGGTTTTCCTTTCCTCTCAAATCCCCACCCACCTCCGTTTCGGTATCTTCCTGTTTTTCTCGGGCTTTGTGTCGGCTGCTTCTCCTTTACAGTCATTTGCCAAGACATGGGCCGGATCCCTGTTTGCTTGTTTTTGTAAATGGCCAGCAATGATTCTCAACCTTTGCTGTGCAATCTGCTGCCGTTCGGAGCTGTTAGACGCCATGCTGCTTCCGTGTTGTGCAGGGGAAAGGCTGGGCTGGCTGTCAAAGGTCAGCGGTGATGATTAGGATGTGAGGTATAGAGCTCACCCCCAGCATGCACTGCTCGAACGAGGTGTGTACTTGCAACTTCAGAAAGCAGATCGGAGTTCTCACCTGTCAGCTCCCTTATAGTAGTCTTGTTTGCGGAGTAAGGGTGTAACAACGTACAGTACAAATACAATGGAGGGGGGTTTGAACGAGCTTTTAAAAAACAAAACTTTCCTGATCTCATTTTCAAATAAAGATTTAAAACCTTGACGTCATGAGTTTGGCTTAATAAGAAGAACGAATTTGCCATGTATTGATGCACTCAGAGACCTGTATTAAAACACATTTACTGTCCTATATTTTCAATTATTTTATCGTTATTTTGAATAGGTACACCAATTACATATACTAACGTGCATTGGGAAATTTACAGGAAAATACTGTTAATGTAACAGGAAAACATCGTACTCTAAATCATAAATTTGCTTAAATTGTAATTTAACCTGTAGTATAGTACAGGTTACATCTTTTTTTATGAAATCCCCTAATTAAAAGGGTTGTCCTGTATATATCCACCACTTTTCAAATTTTGCTCATTTTCGTTTTGCATTCTGTTTTGATCTGCTGATTGTTACTGCTCTTCTAATGTTGACATAAAGATTTCAGACGAAAAAGACTTTATGTGAATTCTGAAGTTAAAGTAAATGTAGAATGGGTGGCACTGTGGCACAGTGGTTAGCATTGATGCCTCAGGGTGCTGTAACCCTGGGTCAAATTCTGGATCTGAGGTGCTATCTGTGTGGAGTTTCTATGTTCTCCCAGTGTTCTGGTGGGTTTACTCCCACAGTTCAAAAAACATAATGGTAGGTTAATTGGCTTCTGGGAAAATCGGCCCTGGAGTGAGTTTATGTCTGTGTGCCCTGTGAAGGACTGGTGTTCCATCCACTGTGTATTCTCTCGTGCACCTGTTGCTTGATGGGATAAGCTCCAGGTCCCCCATAACCTTGTATTGAATAAAGTTGTTAGTTAATGCATGAAACAGGCTGTTGGTGTCACATTCTTTACTGATCTTCAGAATACTATGTGTGGTGACACTTCTTCAATAAAGCTTCCAGAAATCTTTTTTCTGCTTTTGTTGGATTAGAGGGTGGCAAAACGTACTCTTAAGGTGCATAAAAATCTAATCCACATAATAGATGACAAATAAGTGAAATAACTGAACAAAAGATGAAGACTATTTTAAAAGAAATGAAACCTGAAATTACAGTAAAAGGCCATTGAATATCTATATTTATAACACTTACATAATAAGTAAATATGAGTCTCCACTTTTTGGTGTATTACCTATACAAAAGGTTACAGTACATGGACATTTCAAGCTGCAGACTTGTTTAGACAAAGGAATGTTACTGACAGATGGTAAAATCTAATGTAACATTTACTATTGCAATGGGCAATACCAAAGAAATGTTCAAAGAAATAAGATGGTGTACTGAGAGATGTAACATATGATTGATCAGAATAACTGGATGCTTTATGGAATGCTTGCCACATTTAATAAGCAAAAATACCTAATCCTTTACCATGCATCACCTCTTTGTGTGCAGAGAATCAATTAATATATATCAATTGTAATCCTGTCCTGAAAAATGAATTCTTTCTTGTTCAAATTAGGGAAAAGTAAAATCACTTGTTTTGACAAAGTGATGTAATTCTACTTATATTTTGGCTTCCTTAAGTAAAATGTGCATGCTTTGATTTTCACTTGCAAACATAAAAAACTATTTTCAAGGATTTTATAACTCTTTTCACCACTTTAAAAGAAGGACTTTTAACAGACTATTGAGACTAGAACCGTCAGACTAGAACCATTTTCTTTTTATATAGGAAAATTAAATTATCCTAACTGTAAAGTCGTTTCACACCCACAATGCATTTGGTTAAAAACAATAAATGATTTCTGAAATATCCCACATTTAGGTTGAATATACTGTGGTTAAATGACAAAAAAACAATTCTCTCCTTTATAACATAGTCTCACTGTAGTGGAAACTGACAGTTTTTCAGACTAATTATGTGTAAAAGCTACCCTGTGATAAACTGGCAGTTTTGCTTTAAAATCATGCCTAACAAAATCCCATGTATTGTCAACCACATAGCATGTTATTTTAGTCAAAACCAACCTGACAACAACTGTATATGTCTTATGTTTTAGCTATTTCTTAATTACTACTCAATGTTAAATTAAAACTTATTCCATCCTTATGGAACAATCTGTGATGTGGCAGCTGCAGTTAATATTATTGTTGTGTGGCAGTTCATATACAAAGTGACTGTAAATTGTACTAAGTTAATAATACTGTATATAAAAAATAAGTGTAAATTCAATGTAATAAACACCCAGAGAAGACAGTGTACTGTACTTTACTTTGAATCTTCTATCCAAGATTTATACAGGATAATAAAGTACTATGGTTCCAATGTGTGTACAGATACCCATTAAATAATGGTGTGATAGTGATGATGTTTAGATCAAAAGTGAAAGACACCTTGGTTTGTGAAAGCAAACAAATTTGTTGGAAGATTTATTAGTTAATGGCAGAAATCTTGCAAAGCTTTAATTCATTATTGTTACAAAAAATATTACATTTATTTTAGAACTGACCTTCGGCACATGAATTGGATTACATGACAAGAGAATTAAAAACAAAAACACACTTACACAGTCATTTAAAGGATTATAAATAACCAATGACTTTTCACCTTCAGTCTTCCACCATTATTATCAGATTAAAAGTTTACAATGTGTTTGCAACAGAATACAAGAAAGTGAAGTGAATTAACGTGTTTAAGATGCTGTCTCATACAAGACAGAATTAAAAAGTTGTTCAGAGTTTGTTCAGCATGACATCCAGCTTTGGTTTTTTTTCAGTTACGCTGGAAAAACAAGAGAACTTTACAATTAATTGCTCCATTGTTTTCATACTGCACAAGACCTCTTAAATCTAGCACTCTAGTGCAGAAATAATGAATTACAAATGTTCCGGGAAATGATCTCTTCACATTTTACTGCTCTGGAAATATAATAAAACACATTTTGATAAACAACCATTAGTTCTGACTGATATGTGTAAATTGTAATATGTAATTAAAGTTTCAAAACAAGCTGAGTAATAATGGTGGGGTCCAAAGCAGATTTCATCATATACTAATAATATATTTTATTTTAGATTTAGATTGTAAAAAGCTTTACAATACCTAAACCCAATTTATGACCGTTCCAAACAATTTAGCCATTTTATTTTCCAGAAACTAGTGAGAAAACTAGCCTCCCCGATCTCCCTAGCAATAAATGTCCTGAAAGCAGCAGTGTAACAACTAAGCTAAATAATCACACTTGTATCTGGGCTGGTAATATATACTGCATCTGAGTATGGAAGTGAGAAATAGCATAAAGTGGGAAGATGCTTAATCATGCAAACATTTGTGAACACTTTACAGGGTCGTGTGATGTTATAGTTTAGGCTATCATATGAACAGGGGCAACTATCAATACCTGAAGAAGCCAAAGAGCATAAAAGTGTTTCTAAGTAACAAAATTACTAAACCAGACACCAGGAATACTCTTCAGATAGTAAAAAATTGATTCACAAAGAAGAGAGATTTCACTGCCCTCCTTCACCACCAATCTGTACCACCCATCTGAATGATGTGGAGGCAGCCAAAGTGCTCATAGTACACTCACCACACATCAGCCATCAGTGGATAGGAGAACAGAGTAATAAAGCCAATTCATAAATCGGATTAGGAGGACATGACTGGTAAAGTCCAGGGGGACACTTGACCAGGAACACCCTTACTCTTTCTGAGAAATGCCCTGAAATTTTAAAAGAAAACTGAGTGTCAGGACCTCAGTTTTACTTCTCCTCCAAAGGACGGCAGCTTTTTTACAGTATAGTGTCCCCGTCCCTATATGGGGCATTTGAACCCACACAAACTGCAGGGTGAGTGCTCTACTCGAGACACATTCACTTAAAGATTGTATCGACCTTTCTTCACCCTAATTTCAAGAAGAAACCTTGGTTTTTCTATGACTATGACTATAATCTGCATTTTATTTACAGTGAAAATAATTAGAAATGTATATTTAAAAGACCACAGGCTAAGAACAGACTAGCCTGGTTTGTTCAGTATCCCAGTTCAGTTATGGTCTCTCCAAACATGAGACTAGCATACGTGTGAGGATCCCAGGGTCTTTCGCATCATATGTTTAGTCGCTTGCCAACTTCAGAATTCTACTTTGCCATTAAATATCTTAGTTATTTATTGACAACTGCTGCATTTACTTGTATTTATGTCGCAAAGCCCATTAATTAGAAATCCCTCAGAAGTAAGAATGTGTGAATGTGGTTATTTTTCTTCATTTGGCTTTATGTTTACTCTTCTTGTGAATTTTGACATTGATCGAATACTTTTTACTCTTTCATCTGTCACCCTCTATTCATCATATTATACTGATATGAAATTGATGAGGGTTTTTATCTGCATGAAGATTTTCTAACAATACAAGCCAGCAATAACTGGAACATAAACACACAAGTCTGTGCTTTTATTGTGACATATATTCTCAATATAAAGTTTTTTCAATCGACTGAAGTTCAAATTATCTAAAAGTGAAGAACCCTGATGAAAAATGCAGTGTACTGTAGGATGAAAAAAATAATACATTTTGCATCATTACCACAACCTCCAAAGGTACTATTTCCTCAAAGCCAGAGCATTAACTCCCAAAACAAAGTTCTGTAATGCACTGACTGCAAACAATTAGAGTCTAAGTGTATTACAGAACTTTACTTGGAAAGCCACTGTGCGGCCACGTTTTCTTCCAGGTTAATGGTTTTCAGAAGTCCCCCAGTGCAGCACCTTTAAAGCAATGACAGAAAAATAAAAGGCATCAGAAAAGGTTATAATCTCTGGTTAGCACTTACTAAAGCCCCAAATTTACTGGAAACCGATAGAATAAATTAGCAGTAGAATAAATTAGTACGTATATTTATACCAGGCATTTGAAAATTGATTGATAAGTACTAAATGTAGGCCTAATTGGAAGGTAGAGGAGAATTATAGATATAGACTCCATTGCAATAAAGACTAAATAAATTAAAAAGTAATCTGGAGCTGGAAAATGGGCCCAGGTTACTAGTTAAAAAGACACAGTCACTTAAAGACCTTCTGTTGTTCCACCACATATTTTAACACATTCAGAGCCTGGAAAAAGTCTCAATGTGTTCAATGAAATTATTAGTTTTTATTATTACAGCACACACGCAGACACTGCACGTATAAAATAGCTTTTACTCAAAATACACTGCTCAAAAAACGTTCAGAACAATAAAATGAAAGTCTATTCAGATCCTTTAAAGACTTTTTGTCCATGGACTTAAGTCAATAGAACAGTCTTGTTCCACCTTGTCTGTCTTCAAGGTTGTGAAGTTAACAATTGTGAGAGCCGATATGTAGAAGAGCTGACGTGTCTAAACTTTCCAAATATAGAGTCGGGTACTCAAGACAAATCCAAAATCCACATTTTCAGTTGTATCCACAGCTTCCAGAACAAGTGCATTTTGTTCTGAACTTTTCTTTCAAGCCGTCTGTCACATACGGTATAACGCAAACTGCACTGCTGTGAAAATTACAATTACTTTAAAAGATCAATAAAAGTGTCTAATAGATTTATGCTTCTTTGCAAAATATGTGATCACTTTTAAGGCAGATTTGTCGTGCATATTTTGGAATATTACTTACTGTGTTAGAAGTTGAAGGAATGCCAGTGTCCATCACCTTCGTATTAAAATAAATGAAAAAAGAAAAAACCGTAAAGTCCGTACCCAATAAATGAAATACAGTACCATGTAACTGCTTACTTTTAGGAACACTTAACATAAAGGAAGTATACATACCTGGCTGAAGTAAGTGAACACTATGGGCGCCAGCTGTAGTCAAACACGCAGTGAAGGAGAACATACATGCAAATACCTGATCTAGTAACAGTCGAATGCTGACAAACAAAAGAGGCGGTATACAATTTATCTGTGGATATTGGAAATGTCGGCCTTCGTAAGTCTTAACATGAACTGTTACACAGCCTTTACAACGGTATACCTCCGAGTCTGCCTGCTCTGTGCAGAAGTCTGCAGCTGGAAGAATGTCGACGTGGAGCTGCCAATCGTGAACGCGTCCTCATGAACGCGCTTTGCAAAAGCACTTTTTTAAAGTGTGATTGCAGACACAGGGCTGCACTGTAAGCTAAGGTAGAGGCGAAGTGAGTTTCTTAACAGGTACGTGTAAAAATGCGGGGTAAAAGCCTCTATCATTAGGGAGAAATCTTTCAAACCTTGACTAATTGCAGCATGTCAATACGTTTTACTTGCACGCTGCTGACAGAATTTCTAGATCTGTTTCCTCAAACTATGACTGTACTCGTTGGCTTTCAACAATTTTTTCATTGAGTACTATTGCAGTTTTTTATTGTAAGTTTATAACTATGCTAAATATTTTTGAGCTACTGAGTCTGAATTTAAAACTTAAATGGTAAATAATGCATGACTGTTTACGGTATGTACTGTAATCCAGCATCCCAGACCTACAGTCTAATCATAATATTTTAATTGGAATGGTTATTAATTAAAGCCTTAACCGTTTCCTTAATTGTATGTCGGTGATGATGATGATAATATCACCTATGAAAGCTGTCATCTCAAAGAGCATAACATGGAAATCATAATAAAAATTAAGATTACAAAACTACATGTGAAAACAAAGCAAATAAGGGAGATAGACCGTGCTTTTCTAAAAACATTTGATACATTTCATTTTTTTTAAGTCTGCGAGGTATAAAAACACCCAATCTGTTCAAGTCCCTGATTTATTTTGGAATGCTGTTCAAGAGGTCTGGGTATATTACAGAAAAACAAGAAAAGCCCCTGTCAGCCACAGAGTGTAATGGAACTAAAGACACAGAGATTTTCACAAGGATTTTCAAAAATGTTAATTACAATGGTAACTATAAATATGCAAAATAAATGCGTCTTTGGATCATACAAGAAGGGTTGTGTATGACTCTGAAGTGGCATGTTAAAATGCTGCTCTTGGTTATGACTCACTAGATGCTAGTTCTTTAAACAGGCGTACTTGTGATTTACTAATCCCTCAAAATTGCAACCTAGAATACAAAATTTTACAATGTAACATGCCATACAACATTGTGTGGAAATTCCTATGTTCTTATATTTAATTCGTATTGGAGTTGCAAAGAAATACTGTCTAGCTGGCACACTAATGTTCAATATACATTTTCTACAAGGAATTTTCTGTTGCTTCGTTTTTTCCAAAACAAATTAGGAATTGGGAAATTCCTGAAGATTATGGGGACTTCATACAAGAATTCCAAATCCCGAAAGGTATTAAAAGAGCCAACCGGTTTGGGTTCTTTCGAATCAACAGTGAGACATTTTTTTTACAAAAGGGGTTGTTGGAGTCTGGAAAAGGCAAGGAAATCTTCTGGTATCCGTCAATCCTCAAACAAAATAGCTACTAGTTAGCTCCAAACTTTACCACATATTAGAACATTATTAAACAAGACTTAAACTACTGGTCTTTTTACTTATTTCACTTTTCAGAAAAAAAAGACTTTTCTTAACTATTCATAATCAATTTTTCGTATTCCCTTAACCCTTCCATTTATTTTATTTCCTTAACATCATATTTGATCTCTCCCCATTTATCAAACAGTTTGGGGCTGAAGATAAAGGAACTGATCTGTCTAGGCTGCAGTGTAACACTCTGGCCTAGATGCAAAACATATACTGTATAATTGATTGCAGCCAAAAACACAAACAAACCCCTTATTTGCCCTTTGGAGGAGGAATCTCATGCAGATGCTTCATTAGCAGAAGTTTAAATTTAGAATTTGTGAGTCAAGACACAGCTTATTCCTCCTGGAAGCCATTCGTATCTTGCTTTGAGGTATTCAAGCTTCTTTCTTGACATGCCGGTCTCAGTCTCTGCTACTGTTTCTTCTTATCTCTGTCCTTCCCTTGATTTTTTGTTATTTAAATTCTATTTTTTTCATACTTTTCTAATGGGAAACGAGGTTGACCCCTGCACTGAATATATCCACATTTTGTTTACAAGTGTTTTGCATTCACTTTTGTATTCTTGTGAAAAGCTAAAATGAATAAATCGAAATAGATTGTTTAAAAAAAGCTACTAGCAAGCAAACTCAGTGGGTCAACTACATGCCTCTTGGTTGTTACATTTCGTATGTCCTTATAGTTCAATGACTTCACATACAGTACTGTCTTGTCTTGACAAAAGTATTTACTGTATAAAATACTGTATTATAAAAGGGTATTATAATTACCTAGTAACTAACAGATTAAATTTCAGAAGCAATATACTGGCATCACACTTTTACCAAGTATAAGAAAGTAGACTACCTTCTGTGCTCCAATACTACTGGTGCTACTCATTTGCAAAGTTTTAAATAATTAAAAAACTACTCTCCATATGTACCAATGTAAAATGTTTAAGGATTTAATCAAATGAGTAAACATATACAGTATAAGTGAAGGTAGTAAATTTCTGTAGTAGACATAAAACCTTTAAAATACTGATTATTTTAAGACTCTGAAAGAGGACAAACATCTACTTTCAAAAACAGCTATATTTTTTGAAGGTTGTAATGATCCAGAGATTAACCCAAGAGGTACATGGTGCAAAGCAGAACTATCTAGAATGTTACTACAACACCTTAGTGGGGAAACCTGTCCCATGGTGATAAGAAAATGAATGTGTGTAACATGCAAACTCCACACAGAAGGTGCCCTTGGATAGCTAGAACTACAACCAAGAGAAACATAGAGGAGTACTGACCACCATGCCAACCGGGTACAATTGTTTGAGATCTCACTGACCTGCTGAAGAATGGGGTTGAATTTCCAATTCATTTATTCAGACAATAAAAAATTAACATCCATAGCCTTCAAGTAAAAAATAATTGTATTAAAATTTTCTGAATCCTGTTTTGGAAACTAGACTAAAATTGAAAGGAGTTTCAACCTTTTTCCATCCATCCATTTTCTAACTGCTTCATCCAATACAGGATCAGAGGGCAACAATGCTAACCATTGCACCACTGTGTCATTCAACCTTTTTCAGTAAACATAACATTTGAAACCCTCAACAAATTCTTCCCTTCTTTCTTACAGTGCTACAACTGAAAATATTAACTTCCTTCAAACTGTCTGGTCCTTTTCCTGCAATTCAGGCATGCTCTTCAGAAGTTTGTTTAAATTTATTGAAAAATTTGGTGACCAACACATGATTGTCATTAGTGCTCTAGCTGGGGCATTTTCCATCACCCAAGGGGAAGAGATTGTTCACGCTGGTCAAAAATGATATATATAAATAATTGGTTTCTGGGAGTGACACAGTGATGTAGGGTTTAGCGCTGATTCATCACCATCACCATCATCCACAGTGGGCCTGTGTCCCAAGAAGAAGGTGCAGTAGTTTCATCTGGTGCCCTGTGCTTCCAGGATTGCATTGACCCTTGCAAGAAAACAACAGCTCTCAGACGATGGATGAGAGGGTGGGCATTGGAATAGATTTTCTTTAACAAAGCCTGATTAACTACATTTATTCAGTGATATTACAATTAAGATGTTCCAGTCTAACTAAAGCCGCGACCCCTACCAGGAAAAGCGGAGTGAAAATGGATGGATTGATGGTCTATATATAAATAAGATTATGGCAGCCATATAACTTAAAATCAGAAAGGTTTTATGTTAGGATTGACAAAGGGAGGAGCAAATTCATAAAGCTTATTGAAACAACTGAGTTGGTAATAAAATAAAGCTTTTGTTTCCAATTAGCTCTTGGCAAAACCATGAATGTGTTTGCCGGGATAACTGTTATGTTGCAAGAGAGCTGTTGTTGTCTGCAGCTTTGGGCACTAAGCTGCCATCTGGAGTTTAGTGGTCTTAGCTCCCATAATGCACAGGGACTGGAAAATACAGCAACAAAGCAATTTTGCTCTGCAGTAAGATTTCCCATAGCCAATACTCCTTTCAGGTCTGAAAGTCCGTGAAGAGATACTTCAAGTGCAGCCAGAAACATTTGCCCAAAGACATCTGACTAGAGAAGGACAAGCAGCAAGGAAGGGGCTTATATGCCACTTCTGTGACCTTGCCTATCTAGGATCTTATGAATGAATGGAAGGAAGACAAACCAAAGCTGCACATCAAATTGAGTAAAGTATAGCTTAGAACGGAGGAATCCCTCAAGAAAATGCCTGGAAATCCTTAAGGATAAGTTGGCTATGGAAGAATTACGTCTGTAATGTGTCCCATATTCTTGAAGCTTGTTTCTAGTTAAGTAATTCTGTGTTTATTATAACGAAATGCAGAAACAATTAGAAAGCAGCGTTACATTTCTTGCTGTCGTTTGATGTGTTTTTTTTTCTTGGTCAAAAACTGTTTTTCACCAAAAGGATACCAAAAATAAATTGCTTACTCCAAATCCATCTATACTCTGACTGCACTCTGTTTGGGTTAATTGCAATAATCTTCATCCTTAACTTTAGCTGTCCATAGGTTTCAACTCTGAGCCTTGTGGTAGGAGACAATGAAAACAGAGGCACGCTCATCATCTCTGACCAGCCACAAATAACAGGTTTTTTCCTTGCACATTGACGTAAAGAAAATTTTAGTGAACTTCAAAACAGTTATTATTTTATCTGCACAGGGTCACTTCAGTCTCACCTTTCCACTACGTTGGTGTAACTTTAATTGTACAAAATGATATAATTCTGTGCAGTGTTTTTTGGGGGGAATCAGGGAATGGTGCTTTAGAAGCCAAGGATGAGGCTTAACATTGAAACAAAACCTGTCTGAGTCTGATTGTATTTTTACAGGGTTTAACACTCACAAGTTGACTGCAGCAGTTTTTTTAATAGAAAATAGATATATTCTAGCTGTTTTTCCAATGACTTTCAGTTCAACTTTTTTTGAAAAGTCTTTAGTAACACAATTACCAACTTTATTCTGTAACTTTTAATAATAATCTCTTTTTAAAGTAATTTAAAAACGGAATTTACCATATCAGTGGTG